AAACGTCAGCCTCTCTGCTCCTATGATGCTGCTTGGCCTGCTGTGTTCATCCAGCCCTGCACCTTGTTGACTCTATAGTCACACATTGTCAATGAAGAAATGATGAGGTGATGTCCAAAGGAGCTAGATGTTAACAGAAGAATACTGTTCGGGTTTGGAAAATGCATTGAAAATGTTGCTGGCAGATCATTCCTGGGTTTGATCTCTTCAACATGAAACTCCTTTCTCATGCCACCTTAGACTGGCTCTCTTATTTTGTGGAAGTTATATCCAAGTAATTGTTTGGTAGGACTGGACCTGAGAATTGCTGAAAGAAGTGTATATTTTGTTAAAGTATTTTTGCCTTATGCTCCTCAGACATTCACAAGAAAACCAGTGAAATAGGGAATCACATCTTTTACGCTGAATGATCATGTGTGTGCTGAGTGGTTGGGATGTGATCTGTGATTGGTAGAGGTGTTGCCCTGGAGAATACACCAGTTTGACACTTAGATAACTGTCAGGCTTTGTTTAAATTTTATTTGCATGATGCTGATTGGTCTGCACATGATCCTGAGGAACAATCCTGAAGGTGCTAAAAATTACACTGACAACCAATGAAGATTGTCAGTTAGGCTCACAGTATATGGCCACTGTCTTGTTAAGTTCAAACAGATACAGTATGGGTAGGTGTTTTTTCTCTTTGCGCACTCAGAATTGTTTAGCGAGTGCTGTCCAATTGAAGAATCATGTCTAATATTAAGCACTGGTTTTGCAACATGGCTGAATGTGGTTAGTAGTGTCCTGTTGTGAAGAGCAGAAGAGACATGCTGTTTGACACAATTCACCAGTTTTTGGGAAATATGGCTTATTTACCTAGCATTCCACCAAATGGCCCATAATTACATACCATATTTCCTTTTTGTGTGAGAGACAGCATGTCTTTTAGGCTTGACAGTAGCAGATGTGTGAGGAAAGACTTGCACATGGCCGTGAATTCAAATATAACAAACATATTGTCTACATATTCGAAATATGCAGGTGGTAAGAGGTGAAGTGCTATTCCAACAAAGACACATTCCTCCTGGATCCCAATGAAGATGTTTGTGAGCATTGCGCTTTGTGGGAATCCTGTGACAACACCACCCATTTGGGAATACATGCGTCTTTAAAATTTAGCTCAACTGTGTGTAAGCTACAGAGATCTAGGGGTGGCACAGTGGCTCAGTGGTTAACACTGCTGCCTCACAGCGCAAGGAGCCCAGTTTCAATTCCAGCCTCGGGCGACTGTCTGTGTGGAGTTTGCACGTTCTCCCTGTGTCTGTGTGGGTTTCCTCCAGGTTCTCCGGTTTCTTCCCACAGTCTCGAAGTGCAGGCTAGGTAGGAAATGCAAGGTTACAGGAATGGGGTGTGTCTGGGGTGTGATGCTCTTCAGAGGGTGGGTGTGGGCTTGATGGGCCGAATGGCCGGTTTCCACCCTGTAGGGATTCTGCGGTTTTATCGTAAGTTCAATGAATTTAGATTTGCATAATGATAGCTGGATTTCATTGCATGTCTTAATAGGCTACATCCTTTACCCAATTTCACCTTTGAAATGGAACAGTCGAATCAGCTTTCTTTCCTTGATAGCATGTTGAGGAATTTGCTGAGGATTCTGGATAGCTGTCTACTGCAAGCCTTCCTTCACTGGTCAATGTATGTACTAGGGGTCTGACCATTCCACAGGCTATGAGGTTGCACTTATTGGCAAAATTACAAGTAGTTTCCAAGCCATTTGCTCACCATGCAAGTTTGATGCTGAAATAGCTGCATCCAACATACCCTGCAATGTACTGGGAACCCTCATCAGATAATTTCTTGCTATAAACCACACAAATAAATGAACACGCCACAAGATACCTTTTTCAGAAAAGTGCCTATTCTGTCTTAGTATTTCAAAGCAACAGCTGAAGCTAGGTTTTTTTTCCCACATCACTATGGTGTTATAGTACTAGTGGTCATCACTAACAAGATTCTGCCATCTTGCCTATTACACAAATTAGGTGGTATGTTGCAAAGTGGATCATATCAAGCAGTAAGTCCCTTTACAACAGGCATGATGCCAACCCTACCCTGCCAGCTGGTGCTGGTAAAACTCATAGCACAATGTCTAACATTAGATGTGATTTTTGCAACTAGACAACATTCATTAAATAATCATAAGTGTGTTAAGGATTCACACTGAAGAATTGACGCAACACTTAAGCAACCTATATTAATATGCAGAGTTCTAGACAGAAAGGACATATACATGTATTGCACCTGTTACAATGTAACAAAATAGGCAACTATCATACTCCGGTTCATTCTTCCAGGCAATGACGTGGCCAATCAAAGTCAACTTGCCTGGTTTAACTTTAAACAAAACCTGGCAGCTAACTGTTAGTCATCTTCAAACTGGTGCTTTCTCCATGGAAATACCTCTACCAAACAAAGGCTATTTTTCAACCATTAAGCACACTCTTCCCATATCATGTGAAAATATTATTTCCTTTACAGTGGTATTCTTGCATACATCTGGATGATTGCAAAATGAACAACTTCAACAAAATGTGTCCCTTTTCATCAGTACTCACAGATTGTATAGAAATGAATAGGATAGACAGATTGTCTGCCATGCTGTTACGTAAATCTCAGAAATGGATTTTTAAAAATAAATTTACCTGGTATAATGTCACAACTATAAGATAAATCTGTTCAGTTTCCCAGAAGCCATCAAGCTCAGCTAAGTTCTTAAGCTTTGTGAAGGATTTGTATCATTTAAGGAACAAAGAAACTACAAAGCTAGGTGATTTATCTGTTCTCCCCTTCTTTGTGTTTTGTGCAGGAATAATCCGAACGGCTGTAGCTAACCTGGACCGTGAAAAGAAGGACCATTACATCTTAGTCATTCAGGCCAAGGACATGGCAGGACAGCTGGGTGGATTGTCTGGGTCAACTACTGTTACAATCACTGTCACGGACATCAATGATAATCCTCCTCGATTCAACCAGAGTAAGCTATCATCTCTCTTAACAATGATGAAAGTGTTCTCTTTGTTTTATGATGGTTGCAACTACAGCATCTCAGTAATTTCCATGACATGCTTTCCTTTTTCCAGATGATGGAGATGAAGTCGTGCAATGATGTTAACTGGGCTTCTCCATAGTATTTTAATATCACAGCGTGGATATGTCTGCGCAGGAGGTTGTTTTGGTTCTCAGCCGTTGGATGGTTTGTCAGCCTCATGGTCAGACTGGAGTTGTGTTGACATGGTGATAGATAGCATGTAGTCAGGGACACACAGGTTGTGGACTGAGTCTTGGTTGAAGAGATACTCAAAATGCTTCTTCTAATCAGAGCTGACTGATCCTCTGTCCTTGATGAGTGCCACTCCATTCTTAGCTGTATATGGGCTAAGTCCTTGAATGCTTTGGCCATCCATGGTGTTGACTATATTGAAGAATCTATGTGTGTTGGTTGTTGGTTTTCTCAAATTCTTCCTGCCAACATCTTTAGATCATGGAGATTTTTTTGTTTGGACCCAGCCTTCACTTGTCTGTAGACCCATTTTCTTTCCCTCAAACTTTGGTGTTCGCAGATCAAGAACTTGTTGTGCTTGTGATTTAGTAGCTCCTGGATATCCTGGTCGTTTTCATTAAACCAGTCTTGATGTTTTCTAGTGCAGGAATCTGGAGTCTCCTGGTAGGTGCTGCTTACAATGGATTTAACAGCAGACCCCAGTGCTTTTCACATTCTGTGGTTATTGAACATTTTGTATTGTCAGATTCGCTGGCTGAGTAGGTCTTCCTTTGCAATGTCTTAGAGTCCATCAACATTGAAATTCTTGCATCAGTGCATGTCCTGGCATTGCCAATTTTGGGCCAAGCTCATGAGAATGATAGCCTGGATTAGGTGCCGGATTGTCCAGCTATCATCAGCTCCTGCCATGGTACTGGTGATGTGGACATCCTAGTGGTCCCTCACTTGGACAATGACGTAGCTAAGCAGGTACTAATGTCTAGAAGCAGGGTGTTGCCAGGAGGTCTCGGCTTTGCTTGTCTGGTGAAACAGTTGTTTTTTGTGACCAGCCCCTGCTCTTGGCATTTTGTCAGGAGATGCACTCTGTTGATGTTCGTCATCCCAATTCTTCTCCTGGCAGTCATGGCTTTCCAGAAGTTTGTGTCCCTCCCAATTCTTGGATTGAAATCAAAAGGAGAATCATCTTGTCCCTCTTTGGGACTTGAGACTGTAGCTGAAGAAAGCTGGGGCCTTTTTGGCATCATCTGTTGCTTCTAGTGTTGGGACATGCAAAGTGGTGCCTATGAGGAACTACTGCATTAAGGTAAATGGAAGAGTCTTGAGGCATCCATTTATCCTTCAGAGGGGCTCACTGAGATGATCATCCAGTTAATTTTCCTGAGTCAAACCCAACTCCATGGAGTTAGCATTCTTCCTCAGAATTACCCTTCCAGAAGAATGTGTATCCATCACCTTGTCTTTTGAGCTGACCACCTCTTACTTCCTGTGCCTCACAGAGGGTTGAATGTCACAGTGTTAGTATTCCCCAGCTATGGTAGTGGTGTGATGTTCAGATCCATCACTGCTGGGGTTACCCATGAGGTCTTGATGTTGCGGGCCCCAGACTTCATACTTAAAGGGTGGAGATCCCTAAGTATGGGATCTTTTACAGTGGAATGGCCATTGCACACTGACCACCCCATTGACCTGATGCAGCAACATCATGATCTAATGTCAGGGATAGCCATGACAATTAGAGACCAGGCACAGGTGAGGATTAATATGCACATGCATATTGTTGCCCCAACATCTCATTGTCCTTCCCTGTTGTACACTAAGAGCTGATAGTCCTGCTTGCTTGTGGGTCTATATTAAAACAATGAGCATGCTCCATGTTGATCAGCCGTATAAAATAAGCAAAGACTCATTGATTGTTAATGCCATGATTCAAGGTCTGAGCCCCACCCCCCACCACCCGCCGCTCTCTGTTATATTAACCAGCTCTGTCTGCCTGTCTCCTTATGGTTTACACTCAGCCGATCCCCTGAGATGTTGCCACTTGTGTTGGCTCTTGGTGGAGGCACACTGTGCTCTCCAGGTGGTGTTTTCACCGCCTCTTCACTGCACTTATGACCATTACAAGCCTCGTACTTTGCCACTACCCCTCTCCTTCTGCCATTATATTGCCACTGCTTTCAGCCTTGCTGCTGGTCTCATTCTTTGTCACTGCCTGCTCTCTGTAAGCATTTTATAATTCTGTTTCTGACAGTACTACAATACTAATTCCGGCTGAGTTATAATCTAGAGGTAACTGGTTTAAAAAATGTGTGTGGAGCACTTTTCCTCTGGGGTTTTGTCCTGTGGCCGAGATTGAGGCGCACTGTTGGGTTAAAGTAGAGGAGAGGCCTTTACATCATTTCAAACCATGCAGTACGTGATCTGAATTTCCGTGATTTATGTCTAATTGCTTATAAGCAAGAAAAACATTTAAAAGAACATATTTGTTTTATGTAATTGGTTTCATTTCCAACTGTGGTTTGCACAAGGTCATGATCAACATTCTGTACCAGAATGCAAAAGCGAGCAAATCAACCTCAGCGAGAAACCGTGCTTATCGGAGCTCAGAGCAAAATTCACTTCTTCTGTATAATGAGCCGTTATCAGGCAGAATATACACACACTCCTGTACACATACTGTGAGACCTGATCTTATATGTAAACACGCTATTGACTTTATTCCTATAGACACTAGGAGCAGTGCTCCTATATACACTTGCTGTGAAACCCATTATTATACAGATACTGTGGGCCCCGCTCCCATACCTACGCTGTGAGCCCAAACCCATATGCATGCCGCTTGTTGTCACTCCTGTACACTTGCTTTTCTGAAGCCCACCAAGAACCCATTTGTACATTTATTGACAACCCCACTGCCAAAGTTACAGTCAATCCCGTTTCTAAATAAACAGTCACATTCACTGCGCCAAATGCACCATTTCAATAAGCAGCTCTGATAATCGTGATGTTGTGGACTTCCTTTTGTCCAAACTCACCTCTAATAGTCATCATACTCCACCAGTATCTCCTCACCTTCTGGTGATCTGATCTAAACCCTTCAGCATACTGTTCTCCTCCTTTTTCTCTGATGTACTCATCTAGTTTCCTATTGGACGCGTTCACTCAATTTGCCTCAACCATTTGCAGTGGTAACAAGTTACACATTCTAATCACACTAAGCTTGAAAATGAACTTCAGGAGGGGTTTTGACTAATGATCTTCTGACTTCACTTTGAAAAACCTACCTCCAGGTTACTAAAGATTCGTCACTACCCACTGATATGGAATCTATAAAAATGTATCCATGTTGAACAAAATATGGCTGACAAAGCCTCTGAAGAAACAGGATAGTTAATTTCAATTGCATAAACTAAATATGTTCTTTTAACTTTTTTTTCAAAAAGCCATTAAACATAAATCATTGGAAATTCAGATCATTTACTGTGTTGTTTGAAGTAATATAAAGGCCCCTCCTCTCCCTACAGGGTGCCTCAGTCTCAACCACAGGACAAACTCTGCAGTAAAAGAGTTTCATATGCATGTTTCTTTTACTAGTTATCTCTAGGTGAGATTATAACTCATTCGGAATTAAAATTGTAATCATACTAATCACAATTAGACTTCTCTTCCTGGATTTACCTATCTTGTATTTAACTGCTCCTACATGTTTGATGTTTTTCCTACTATAGTTACCACAATCCTCGAGATAATTTGTTACTTTACCCCTCCACTTAAATTGGTCAACAGTATACCTGAAATTCTAAACCCAGATCCTATATACAAAATTGAGCAGGAATAGCTGCAACAAATTCCCAATGTGCTTAATATTTACTTATACCTTTACACTCTGTGCGGTTTGTACCTTTTCTTCTCTGCTTGTCCTCCTGCCATCTGTCCGTCCATGTAGCCACAATGTCTTTAGTTCCATGTATCACAACTCTGTGCATGAAGCTTATCAAACCCATGTTGGAAATTCTTATAAACTACATGTGTCTTCAAAATTATCTATAAAGTTGATTAAGTATTATCATTCAGGGACAATCCTACATTGGCCCTAATTAACTTTACTTTATTTCCACAAGTGTAGGAGGTAAGCATTCTGTCTCCAAACTCCTGGAGTGTTTGTCAATGTGGACTTTCTAAACAGTGCCTCTCCATATGATGCTTTTTCTGGTGTGACTTGTAATAAAAGTAGAATCTTTGAATTCCTTTTGAGCTTCTCAAAAATTATTTGAACACATGCTATAAAAATTGAAATCAACTATCCTGATATTTCTGAGGCTTTGTTGACCATATTGTGTTCTTCCTTGATAAATTTTATTGTATTTCTATATCAGTAGGAGGTAACAGATCTTCAGTAACAAGGAGATAGTTTTCTCAAAGCTGGGTCAAAAGATCATCATAGACTCAGAGTCATACAGTATTGAAACAGACCCTTTAGTTCAACCAGTCCATGCCGAACATTACCCCAAACTAAACTCGTCCCATCTGCCTGCTCCTGGCCATATCCCTTCAAACCTTTCCTACTAATGTACCTATCCAAATGTCTTTTAAATGTTGTAATTGTGCCCACCCATCGCTTCCTTAGGAATTTCATTCTGCACACAAACTACTCTCTGTGTAAAAATATTGCCTCTCATGCCTTCTTTAAATCTCTCCCCTCTCACCTTACAAATGAGCCCCCTAGTCTTGAAATCATCCATTCTAGGGAAAAGATACCTACCATTGACCCTGTCTATACTCCTCATGATTTTATAAACTACTATAAGATCTCCTCTCAACCTGCTACGCTCCAGCGAAAAAAATTCCCAGCCTATCCAGCCTTTCTTTCTAACTCAAACCTTCCATACCCAGCCACATCCTGGTAAATCTCTGCTGAACCCTGTCCATCTTAATAATACTGTTCAGTTGAAACCTTTGCTGCAGTTCATTTTCAAGCTTTCTTGAAGGTTCCATTTGGTGCTGCTGTGTGATTCCATTGTTCCTGGCAACAATCCAGGAATTCATCTATTTGCCATTGCTTCTGCATGACCAATGACATTAGGGGCACTCTTATATTGGTGCAGTGCCAGACAATGGAATTACCCATTAGAGAGCACTTAATAAGAAGTCTATAATTCATTGTGTATATTTTCAAAAATTTACGGTATCATTTAGGAACCATTATGTACTACTTGTTTCTGACATTAGAAAATCCAGATTCAGTTTCATTGAATTCACTGCTGGAGCTAAATATTGTCACCCTATAATGGATTGGTCTATGATGAAAGATAGTCTGTTCGATAAGGTAATGAAACAGGATGCAAAATACATCTAGATGTACTGAGAAACAACATGTATTTTAATGGAGAAATACTTAACAGTTGAGTTTCTTGAAATGTTCCTTCTCAAATCCAGTCTCAGTATTCACATTCTGTCATAGCTGTCTGTATGGATTCCACGGTCTTATTCAACGTGGACCTTATTAATCTGTGGACCATTGGCAATTGGATTGGAATTATTGACATGTACTTTGAGTTGTCGGAGCTGCAGTAAGTTGGACATGGGCATTTCAACACTTAGCAACTTTTATAAATGCACTATAGGAAGCCGCCTATCTGGATGCATCACAGCGTGGTTTGGCAACTGCTCTTCCCAAGACCACAAGAAAATACAGAGACTTGTAAATGCAGCCAATCCATTGGGCAAACCAGCCTTCCATCTATTGATTGTGTCTACACTTCCCGCTGCATCAGGAAAGCAACTAACGTAATCAAAGATCCCTCCCACCCCAGTTATACTCTCTTCCAACCTCTTCCATTGGGCAGAAGATATAGAAGTTGATACCCAAGTACAAATAGGTTCAAGAACAGCTTTTTCCCCGCTGTTATTAGATTCTGAATGGACCTCAAATTTTAAATTTAATGTTGATCTCACTGTCTGAGCACCTTCTCTGCAGCTGTAACATTGCATTCTTCGCTCTGTTTCATTATCCTAATGTACTTTGTATGGCATGATCTGTCTGTACTGCACACAAAACAAAACTTTTCACTGTACCTAGGTATATGTGACAATAATAAATCAAATCAACACTGGGTTCAGAGTTTGAATCTAGCAAGCATGATAGAAGTGAAAAAGTCTCCACTGGTTGTTGTGTTGAAGCTGGCCAACAACCTATGTCTAATTCCCTGCAGGTGTGGACTGAAGGCACAGAACTTTCCCAATCTGGCACTGATTGCCAATTCCAATCCTACAAATGTGACAAACTGAGATGCGTTCTACCAGATCATGTACATTTGAAAGGTTATAAATAGCAGTCCGCAGCTGGTTGACATTTTTAATAGTTCAATGTGAGTGTAGTGAGTTATGTTCATTTCCTGACTGTAGCCAGAACTTTAAATACTTCAGAGTACTTCAACCTTCAAAACTGCTACCAGCTTCCCATGACCAGAGTCGGTTGTTTCTTTCACGATAGTGTCCTGTCCTCAACTCCTCTTCCTGCCCACAGCTGATTGCCCCCTGTATATAGATGGTGAAAGATCTATTAGTTTCAAAGCACCTATTGACTAACCAATCATAAACCTCTCTCCTGTCTATCTCTCTGATCTCCCTTCAACCCTACAATTCTGCAATCCTTTAACTCTAGCTTTTGGTTCATCTCCCCATTGATGGCCCTGCCTTTGGTTGTCTTGATACTAATTGAAATTTCTACTTTAAATATCCCCACCTTTAAAAACTACCTCTTTTTTTCTTGTTTTCAAACTTTTGGTCACGTGTCCTGATACCTCCATCTTTGACTCAATATCAGTATTAGTCTGATTCCTGGGAGGTGCTTCACATAGTCATAGGTAATATATTGATGTGATTTATTGTTCAAAAGCAAAATACCATGAACACTGGAAATCCGAATAAAGAAAATGCTGGATAACGTTAGCGGCTCAGGCAGCAGCAGATGGGAGGGAACCAAGGATAATGTTTGAGGTCTGCATCGATCTGAAACATCAGTTCCCTTTGGTGTAATGCTGCTTGATCTGCTCATGGTGAAGAAGGTGTTTGGCATGCTTGCCTTTATTGGTTAGTGCATTGAGTATAGGAATTGGGAGGTCATGTTGAGGCTGTACAGGACATTGGTTAGGCCACTTCTGGAATATTACATTCAAGTCTAGTCTCCCTGCTATAGGAAGGATGTTGTTAAACTTGAAAGGGTTCAGAAAAGATTTACAAGGATGCTGCTGGGATTGGAGGATTTGACCGATAGGGAAAGGCTAAATAGTTTGGGGCTATTTTCCCTGGAGCATTGGAGGCTGAGGGGTGACCTTATGGAGGTTTATAAAATCATGAGGGGCATGGATAGAGTGAATAGTGAAGGGTTTTTTTTCCAGGGTAGGGGAGTCCAAAACTAGAGGGTGTAGGTTTAAGGTGAGAGGGGAAAGATTTAAATGGACCTGCGGGTTTCACACAGAGGGTGGTGCACGTATGGAATGAGCAGCCAGAGGAAGTGGTAGAGTTTGGAAAAATTATAACATTTAAAAGACATCTGAATGGGTACATGAATGCAAAGGATTTAAAGGGATATGGGCCAAATGCTGGCAAATGGGAGTACATCAGTTTAGGATATTCGGTCAGCATGGAGCAGTTGGACTGAAGGGTCTGCTCCTGTGCTGTACAACCCTATGACTCTGTTTTCCAGCATTATTTTTCTGCAAAGTAGTGTTATTGCTTTAGTTTGGGAGAACCATGCTAGCAGAGTACCCTGTCAGCTCAAGGTGTGTGAAATCATGAAGTGGAAGGGGGTGAAATCGCAAGTGATGCCACATTGAACAGGCGAAATGCTAGAAACACTCCAATCTGTTTTGCAGAACTGTACCAGCTGAGTATGCCTGAGTCGGCAGCTGTCGGAACAACAGTGGGAAGGGTGAAGGCTGAAGACATTGACTTGGGCCAAAACTCGGAAATGACCTACACCTTGAAAGAGGAAGATGGTTCCGATCGGTTTAGCGTTATCACGGACACAGAGGCACAGGAAGGGATCATCATCTTGAGAAAGGTAAGCGCTTTCTAACCGGACCCCTGGAGATGTCACTAACCTGAGGATTGATCTGATTCCACTAATACCCCTTGTTCAGCGAATGAGTCACAGGATATCAGCTGAGATTTCCCATTGACTTTCCAGGTTGGAAATGATTCCAATAACAGTGTGTTCAACTCACCATGTTAGCTGGCATGAACCTCTGCGAGCACAATATCAAAAAAAAGTTGGATAATTAGAAATAATAACTGAGCATGTATTATAAATACATGTATTCATTTTTGGGGAAAAAGAACTTTACATATAATCACTCCAGGTTGGAGCAGATTCTGTTAATTTGTGGCAATATGACGTTCAAACCAGATAGCATACTGTTCAGGTAATTGTAGTGTGATGGTATAGAGTACAAAGAAGCAGTTTCCAGGTGGAACGAGCACCTGAATGTGTAGGGAGTGCCAGGCACAAGAAAGTTACTCTCTCACTAGTTTTCACTGTCTGGGTGTGGAGCCTTTGGGATCCATAGCTTCAAAGGTACCTTTGTGCACCCAAGCATGTTCCATTTACCACATATACCCTTCCCCACATTGTCCCACCACCATCAGGCTCTTCTGTATTGTAGGATTCTACTGGTAAGAGATTAGGAATTGATTTCTCATACATGGGCTGGATTTAATGATTCCTGCCCCCACTGGGAAAAAATTGGGAGGTGGGTGGAGACAGGATGCTGTTCACCCCTCACTCTATAGCGGTGGATTGCCCTGCAACTATTTCACAGAATCGTTACAATACAGGAGGAGACCATTCAGCCCATTGTTCCCGCTCTATTGTCTAGTCTGGCTCAATTATCTAGTGTCAATCTCCTAACTTTTCCCCATATCTCTGCACATCATTATTATCCAAAAATACATCTGATGCCCTCATGAATGCCTCAATTTAACAACTGTTATGCTTCCAGCCGTTTTAAAGCAAGCCCTCTGCCCTCAGATCCCATTCCCAATTTTCGTTGGTCAATTAAGTGGCCTGCAGCTTGCTACAGTGTCCATCAGGTACTGTGGTCATTGCTGGGACTGCATCTTGTCCCCCACAGCAGAGTGTCGTGGAGCTGTGGGGGTGAGGGTGGTGCAGGAGAAAGCGGATTTGAGGGCTGGGCAGTGGGAAGATCGGGTCAAAGTGGAAACATGAGGTGGAAAGTCAAGGAGAAAGAGCATTGTTTGGAGCCCTCAAGAAGGTATACTCCCATATGCACCGACAGCCTGTACACTGAGAGGGTGCTGGCTGGATGCTTGGTGTGACCCATTTTAATCCCCTGGTTAAGTTCTAGCAGTGACCAGGTAAACTCTCAAGTGGCTAGAAATTGATCACTTAAGGACCACCGGGGGACAGGGAGACAAGCCCTTGCAACACTTTCACCACTGCTGATAAAATTGCAGGGTTGTTGGAGGAACAGGCACTTTGGAAACACGCACGGAGTTCACGGCATATTGGTTTCAAGGGTTTTTTGGGGCCACAATGTCTTTTCATTATAACCTCAGGGAGCAGCCAAACACAGACAACTTGCATCAGGTGCTGAGTAAGCAGCTGCTGTTTTTCTGGCGAAACAGAGAAGGAGCTAAACTGTGCATTTTACACTGTTTTTCCTGCCCTGGGAATGTGATGGGAACACAGAGAACCAAAACAATGAGTGAGTCTTAATTTCTCAACCTTAATAGCAAGGTCTACCATTTTAAACATATAAACAATATTAACGATGGTCAGAATTATTGGCCTGGATATTTTAAGCTGTATTGAAATATACCAATTAGCGAACGAAGGTTCATCCCATATTTTGCCGTGTTTATTTATCGTACAAAACAAATTAAAATGAGCAGATTGGGCACACTACATAAAGGAGCTTCCACTAGTTTTATTGAATTTTGTTTCAGTTCTATTCTGCTTTATGAATCTATTACATTATGGAATTAGAAAATTCCTAATCTGAGGTTTACAAATGTATTTGTTTCTCTGTTTGGGTGCCACTACTGAGAGACCTTAAGGACAGCCACCATTACCATGGGTATGGTACTGACATCCTGGCAGTTTGAGGCTATTTCAAACTTTTTAAATGTCTGAAAGCTCCCAGAATCAATATCATGTTACTGTTTTTGCATTACCCACACTGAGACGATTTCTCAAACTGATTGTTTATGAAATAAGCAAGTTATCAGAACCTATTGCAGACACAGTGGTGCACAGAGCGTGTTGGACAGCTACAGAGTGAATGTGACAGGGATCACTAAAAATAGCATTACTTCCCTTATTCAATTTGGCCCCCAGTACCTCCACTCGCAGCGTCAAAGGACTGCTTAAAGGGATAAGCGACATTGGAAAGATTTGCTGAGGTCTCAGTCTTCCTGTTTCCAGGCTCCTGTGACTGGTATACTTTCTCCAGGATATTCGCATCCAGTCTGGTTGCATCATCTTCAGTTTGTTTTCAACAGCAGCAGCAGTTCAAAGCTGCCTGTAAATGGGGCCAGACCCTTAACTATTTGTGGAATGCAGTAACATTTTTGCATTGAAATGAAAGACAAAACACAGCCGCAGTCTTTGCATTTTGATTCTGTAACATGAGACAGACGAATGTTAGCTGTGTATCAGTCAGTGGCATTCCTGCCACTCATTCATAACAAATTGGGCATTCAAGCCCCATTCTAGTGTCATCCCATGCTGACAGAATGCTGCATTGTGGAGGTGGTGATGTCACCCAGGGGATGTACGATCTACCTTTTAAGGGACATGCTTGTGGTGACATCAGCATTTTTGGCCCTAATGTAAAAAAGGATCTCAGTCTCCATCTTACTGAACCGTGTCCTCTTGCAGTATGACCCACTCAAGGCATTTGGCTACAGTACATCCAAATCCAGTTTGAGCCAACACTTCTGTGACTGTAATGTACATATGTAGATAGGTGCTGTAATTAAAGCTTGTCGCATTCTTTAGTAGTATGTGTCCTCATGCTCTGTCTTTATGTTAGAGGAGCCATCATGTGTATCACAATGTGGTAGTGGCAGATCATCAGTATATATTGCCACATCACATCATCATGTCATCTTATGTCGGTGGAAGGTGCTTTCTTTTGGATCATACAATGATCTAATGTCCTAGATACCCTCAGGTTGCTGTGAAAGATCCCACATCTGAGGAAAAACCACCACACCTCAGATTGATCACTGAATCAACATTGCAAGAACAAATCAGAGATAATAAGAACTGCCGATGCTGGAGTCAGAGATAACACTGTGTGGAGCTGGAGGAACACAGCAGGCCAGGCAGCGTCAGAGGAACAAGAAAGCTGACGTTTCAGGTTGGGACCCTTCTTCAGAAATTTCTTCAGACCCTTCTTTCTGAAGAAGCATCCCGACCTGAAACGTCAGCTTTCCTGCTCCTCTAATGCTGCCTGGCCTGCTGTGTTCCTCCAACTCCACACTGTGTTATCTATTGCATGAATAAATGATATGATTGTTATCCTACTGCAGTCTGTGGGTTCTTGCTGTACATAAATTAGCTGCGGCATTTCGTACAAATGTGGGTGGCACCAAATTTGGCAGGGGAGTGCTAAATGACCAAGGGGAAAATGAGCATGATTTGACCAGGAAGATCCGACAGAACTTTCTACGAGAACTGACTTGGGAGGTGCAGACGCCCTATGGTGATCAGTGGGACCAGACATTGTTTCAGCATTAGCCACAGGACAGAACTGCTGATGAGCACAGTCATGATGTCTGACCTATGGGTCGAGACTTACAGGCACCTATTGCCAGTCAGAAGATGCACAAAGCATTGACTGCTGTCGAGGAGTGGAAACCGCAAAGAAAGACGAGGTTTTCAAAACAGATGGGCCCTGTATGTTTGAGTAACTGTCTCACTTGAAAGAAACATCCAGCCAGCCTCACAGAGAGAAAGAAAACTGGAACAGAAGAACGATTGGTGCGAGCTCTGCTGTCGACAAAGGGACAGACAAAGAGAAAACTGAAGCAACAGCTCGATAAATGTACTGATTACCCTCAGCTATGGAACAATCATCTGTGCTGTGATTCGAAGTAAAGGGAACTGTCAGGGACAAGTTGTTATCTTATGTCTGAATGTGAAAATTGAAATAATAAATTGAATTTAGGACCTACCTAGAATCATAATCCTAAAGCAAAAGAATTGGTCAGAATGATGTACTGATTTACTTTACATTACAACAGTGAGTACTCTCCAAGAGGATTGCTTTGAGGCCCTGAAGTTATAAAAAGTGCTGTATTTATGCAGTGTTTTCTGTTTCTTTAATAATGGAGCTTGCCTTTGCAAAGTTATCTTGAAGGCAACACTTGAGCTTCTCTTTAACCAAGTCACATTCGACAGACACTTTTACGTAGGTCGTGTGCTGAAATGACACGTACGAGTGGGATAATCAATCACCACCTTGCCATCCTAGACCATGAGCAGAAAATGATCAATGGCTCTGAAAGAGCTGACCATTGGAAAGCAGCTCTAAGTGTAGGCTGATCAAACAAGAAGACAGAGAATTGTATTGAGAGTGCAGCGGGATACAACTGTTCATAATACCAACGTCAGGTTCGCCCACAGTCCATCGTTTTCATTGCAGGTGAAAGAATGGAAACTACAACAACTTGCTACTATGTAGCAACTTTAATGCAGGAAAACATATGAGACTCACAGAGATGCTTTACAGAAATGTTCAGAAAGGGATATGAGTTCTAAAGACAAAATATTGAAATCTTTGAACCTGGGCAATTTATTTGGTATGAGATAGTAGGAACTACCGATGCTAGAGTCTGAGGTAACAAGGTGTAGAGCTGGATGAACACAGCAGGCCAGGCAGCATCAGAGGAGCAGGAAAGCTGACGTTTCGGGTCTGGACCCTTCTTCAGAAAATTTATTTGGTATCTTTTCCTTGTATATTTGCAATTTTAAAGGAACAGAGACCCTGGGGTTCACAATTGCAAAAACCTTTAATAAATTAAATAAATAAGTAG